TACTGAGAACCATGTTTGCTGGTAAAGATACTGATATAAAACTATCATCCATTGGATAGGCTAATGCAGGCAATACAACTAAGAGTTACACTAGTACCAATTCAGCTCAGCCTCAGCATTCAGCTACATCACCACTTTGGGTCCAGATATTTGGTTAACACACTTAACACTCATGGATTCTCCTTTTCATATGCTGAGATGAAAAGATCCGAATGTAGTGCTGCAGTTTCACATGGGACTGAAAAAATAGGATGTACACCAGAATAAATTATTTAGTTCATTGCAGACAATGTGGACAATAATGTAGCAGCAATTGATGGTACACTCCATTGTATGTGCATTATTGTAGCTGTTACACCACATACAAAATTTCAGAAGTCTGCACTTAAAGTGTTTGACAGCTGAGGATATTGCTGCAGTAGGTCAAATTAATATTGAATATTTCAAGATCCCTCCCTACTTCTTCATGGTCTGGATGCATGCAGGTGCTACATAAGGGAAACCATCCAGGACTGTCTTCAGTGGTTTTCCTACCAATGATTGACCTTGATCCCAATGATCTTTCATGTATCCTGTCTACCATGAAGTTTGTGATATCCCAGTCACAATCAAGGTAGAGTTATCAAAGCACATAGTCCTGAGGTTTGGAGGCCTTCACATAGAGATGAGATTCCTGGGTAGTATCAGACATCTGATGGCAGGCTCTGGACTGCAAGAACTACTTGAATATGTTTATGCAAGCAACTCTGTAAGTCATACATTGATTGGTGTGGCTATTTCTAGAGCAGTACAAGCTTACATGCTAGTAAATGCTGCACTAAACACAATCCTGATAGATAATGCATACAACATTTCAGTAACAACCAAGGACATGACATAAACCAAAGATTCATCAGAGTACTCTAAAAGAGAGTATGTAGTAATGAGCCTGGACTTGATGTTGCTGAAATACAAGCCACCCAACACACAATCACCACAACAGACTTCACAGCAACAACAGAACTAACATCTGATGTGATATCCATTGAGAATGCATGTTCAGCAGAAATGTTGCAAAGAATAAAAAAAGAAACTGAATGATGAGATTTAGATCATGGCTATGTAGAATGGGATACTTTGGGTACAGTTTATGAATATGGTGGACATCCTTCACAGGATCTTAAAGCAGAAAGGACAGGGAACTGGAGATTACACCTTCAATCTGTAAATGAGATGCTACCATACTTTGCAGCATCTGGTCACACATTATATGCAAAATCTGAATATATCTACCTATAAATGATGGTTAGTCTGCCAGAAACCTATCCAGAGTTGCACAAAACGTTTGTAGAAGGATGCCATGTAGTGAGACAATATTGGGCAGGACTGTCAACAGACCTCATAATAGAGCATGTATTGATGAGAAGGGTGAAGGCATGTGGGGCCTTGACATGTAGAATGACAGAAACACACCAACTAGTGTGGATTCTCTCTATGCCAGCTTGTGCCAACATCACTGATGCAATGTAGGAGCTGAGTGGTGTAACATATGAAACCAGTACCCAACATAAGGATGTATCAACTACTAGACAGGCTAGAGATGTCAGTGACACCCTCACACTTATAACATATCTAAGAGACAGAGATGTTTAACACTGCAAATGGCATGACAGCCCAGGAAGTGGTTAATATTGGGAGGTCAGAGGTGATAGGCATACAGATTCTTGAGTCTATGGTTGGGAAAAGTGTGGATGAGTTCACATTCCAGAAAGCTGATCAAGCAGTTACCTTTGGTTCCAGATCAGCTGTTAAGATCCAAGGTGAGATTGTGCAAATAGATCCTCAGTTGTTATTCCAGAGGTGCATAACTATTGGAGAACATTGGAAAAATCTACCTTCACTGTTCAGGTATGAACTATGTAGTCACCCATCAGCATTACTTGAGTCTTCCTCTCGCCACCATCAGGCAAACAAGGCAGCCATTTATGTAAGGCAGTAAAACCTAAGCAACAACCACCAATAGAAAATGTCCAGTGTATCGTTGATGGTGGTGTTCTGCTTCATCGTCTCCCATGGCCTAGAGATTCGACACATGAAAGTGTGGGTGATATGTATGTCAGTATACGACACAGAAATATGGTAGGGCTGCCATCATCTTTTATCAGTACAAAGAGGGTCCCACAACAAAGGTGCTACACAGCTGAAGAGAACAGATTATTTTACAGGTGTGAGAGTGCACTTCACAGGGGGAATGGTAATCCAGTCAAGGAGGGAGGAATTCTTGAACAACAAAATAAACAAGTGCCATTTCATCCATCATCTCAGTGATAAGGTAGACAGCTGGTTGTAGCATTGGTCATGCAAGGCATGATGCTGACTTATTGAGTGTGTGTTTGTATGGAGGAGACATAGCAGAAGGATTGGATGCATTACAATACAGAAGATTCTGTGAGAAGGTTTCTAAAAGTACATCTTATGTGGAAGCCCAAACTCTACTACCAACATCAGATGCAGCTAGGTATCACAGCCTCTGTGTGTGTTTCATCAGATTATGGAGTGGCAGGAGAACTTTGCCAACTTGAAGCCAGATGAGTGGGGGTGGAACCTGGTGGATGTAAAACATCTGCTGATTCAGACTGATCAACCTGCAGCACCACCAGAATTGCTTGACATCATAAACTGCTCCTGCAAGAAAGACTGCAATAGTAGGAGGTGTATCTGATGGAAACATGGGCTGCTTTGCAATGCTGTCTGCAAGGAATGTAGTGGGATTAGTTGTACAGATGCCAGACTTCAGTAATGACCATGATCAGGGTAATGGATATTTAGAGTAGGATAATGCACATAATTGAACCTAACCCCAATTCTGCTTGAAACACATTTATTCAATTTTTTATATATGTGCATACTTACCAAAAGGTCACTTTATATCAATTTTTTTAGTTAATGGAGACAGAGACTGTAAAAAGTATTTTGTTATAGGCTAAATAACAAAAATTTATTTGAGCTGGAACATGTTTATTATGTGACAATCAGTAGAACCTTGTTGTGACTATTTTGTCATTACTATTTAGTAATAAATAATGTAGATAAAAAGTTTCATTCAAGTAACTGATTGCATCAGATTAAAGTTTCAATATAAAAGAAAAAGGTATCTCTTACAACTTTTCATTCATTTTTGAATTTGACATGTTACTGTGTGATTTACAGGTGCAAATCTGATTATATATCTATATTTGTCAGCCATATTGGATTTATGCAAATTACCTTATTACTCATGGATAGCATTACATGTCCCTTATACATCTTAATCTTCAGAAATGCCATTTAAGTACCTAATTTAGAGAAAACTATAATATGGAAGCAGTTTCATTGTAACATATTAGTATTTGGCAGCCATATTGGAATTATGCTAATGAACCTTTCATCCAATAAAATTCAAATGGTTTCCATGTGATTCTTCAAATCTAGAAACCCCATTTTAGAATCTTAAATTGTGAAAATATGTCATTGAGAAGCAAAGCTATTACAATATGTAGATATTTGGTAGATATATTGGTTTTATGCAAATTAGGCATATTTCCTGTGCTTTAGTATGTCGTTCAGGGGTCCTCAAAGAAACGCACTATGGTGAAATAAATTCTGTTGCAATTTGTTTCCTTTTCCACCTTAATTTACCTAATTATTTACAATCAAAATCTAGCTACTGTTATGAGTAATAACACTTCTGTTGATGTCACTGTCATTTCTATGCATTTTTCATGAAGCTGTTCTTTTTCACCATAGTTTGAAACTAAACAAGAGCCTGATAGGTGGCACCATTGTACTGACAATTATTTTGGTTGATATCTTTTGGAATTTATTAATTTCATTAATAACTTAAACCTTACTATAAAATTCACACTTACCTATACAAGTAATTCATTGAAGAGCATGGTAAAAATTGAAAATAACCTGTGGGTTACTATTGTGTATAGTAAACCTTTGCTTCTACATTTTAACTTATACCACCCACATACTATGAATATATACTATCCTTAGACAACATAAAAGAATAGAAAGAATCTGTAACACAAAGTATGGTACAAAAACTGGTAGAAATTACTTTAGAAAACTCCTTTCTATAATGGTTATCCTTACAAGTATATTTCTTATGTTTATCAAGAATTTGATTCAAAAGTTGCTAGGAAAAACAGTTCAGAAATGTTCACAAACTGATACTGTTATCCAGACTTACCTTTAGCAATGAACCTCTAATAAAGCCATCAATAAATTAGGATTGGATACCTGTATTATTCTAAAACCTTGCAAAACTCTACAAATTTTCCTGGTTCATTCAGCTTTCAATAACACACATGAATGTAAATCTAAACAATGTTTTGCAAAAATAAATGAACTAGAGTAGTGCAGCCCATTTGTCAGTCAGAAGGGAGATTTCAGCCAATCCCCAAAACAGTTAAACATTTTTCTTTAAATATAGCTGCTGAAGTATATTGTTTCACGATTAAACTTAAAAGTACTTTAAAAAGTCAATATGGTACGAAACAAACTACAAAATTTTGGAATAGTATGCAGTTGGAAAAAAGGTTGGGAACCAATGAACTAGAAAAATCCTGCACAGTTAAAAAATGTTGTATATGAAATAATTTGCACTCAGTGCCAAGCTACATATACTTGAGAAATCAGTCATCCAGTAAATACACATTTTAATAAACATATATATCATTCTGATATTTTAAACTACAAAAAAACCTACTGCCAGACATTACCTCACAGAACATAAGACAATAAATTAAATTCCCTTTTGTATAAGACTTTTAGAAAAATCTTCATTTCTAGAAAAGTTACAGAATCTTTTATGATCCAATTAAATAAACCTTAAATAAACAGAGATAATTCTTGGTCATTATAAATTACAGTTTATATTTTTAAAGTTATTACGTAAACACATATGTGTGTGTGTGTGTGTACATATATATATATTTATATTAATAAATATATTAATTTTAATTTTGAATTCAAAACATTTTATTTTCCTTCTTTAAACAATTACGTCCTTTTAATATTATTATGAAATGTAATTTGATACCTCATGAAATTTCCCACTGTTTTGCCATTTGTCTATTGTTGTAATGTGTACTTTCAGTATAACTGTTAATTCAAACATCAGTTTGTTCTTTTTTTTTCAGTGATGCTCTAACTCTAGAGAGTGAGATATAAGCCAAAAAATTGGCTTTTCTAATAAGAATTTTCTTTTCTGGAGTTTGATTTGTTATTATTTAATGAAATTATTTCAGTCCTCCAATCAACTCTGCAAATTTTAAAAGCTGAAAATTTTTTTAGTAATGCTATATATATGTATATATATATACATATATTTAATCTCTACTCTTCTGAGGTTTTATACTTTGGAAAGAAGTCAAAATAGTGAATGATACTTTTTTACTAAATAAACAAACTGTAAGATGCAGCATGTAGCTCACTAACCAACAAAAGTCAAAATATCTTATGTTCATTGTTGCAACCTGGACCATTTGGTATTATTCTTTGGGATCAACACTGACTTGCTATAACTATTTCAATAATTAAAATGTAGCATGAATATGAGTATAAGGTACACACTATTTTATCATTATTGTCTAGTATTATTTCAGTTGTCTTTAAACAACTTAAATGGCTAAAACCAAACAACTGCTACCAATAAATTAGTGCTGCAATAGTCATTTTTGTGTTCACTCCAAATAAAATCACTATCAAATTGCCATTTACTAACTCCACAAGGTTATAATCCATGTAATTTCAAATTGACTGATGTGAATAATGAAACAATGATGCTTTCCTATAGCAGTTACTTAAGTACCTAGTTTTCTGTGCCTACTTCTTCCCTAGTGAATCAAAACTTATAGCAGAAATCAAGTCTTTTTAACTAATAAAATTCAATTACATCATTCTAAAGCTAATGTTTCAGGCTTTAATTACATCAAAATAATGCACACAACTGAATGTCATGAATACTGGTGATATCAATTACAGAATACCTGAATGCATTCCATCCAAAGTGACATTCTTAAGAGATATGTCAAAGAAAATTTGAATGTTTAGAAAAAATAATGAAAACAATTCTATACTTACACAGTTAAGTTTGGTGTGTTGTCTGTTGTATAACAACATAAAGTCAGAACAGTTTTCAGAAGTCACAACACAATCAAATGCAGTTCCTACACATTAAAAAACTAAAAAATCCAATGGAGAGAGAGAAAACACTATATACAATATCCTCTGTAAATGTGAATTTCAATACATGAAGGAAACAAAAAGACCTACAAAAGTTAGAATTCAGATTCATAAAAGACAAATACATGTGGTAACAGCCCATCATGCCAGAGACGATGACCACAGGATAAACAGGAATAATACTGAAACAATAGTATATAACCACAAATGAGAAGAACAAAGATAAAACAAGCCTTATCATCCACCTAACTAATAAAACATTCATTCAACCTAGCATAGAAGTTAGAAAAACCTGGATACTTGTCTTTAAAACATTCCAATAGTTAGTTGAATCAAATTCTAAAAGGGAATATCCCAGTTGAGTGGATAATGCACCAAACTCCTATCAAGACACAGGGTCATCAGTCACTACTCACACAGAAATAGTCCATCTCAGGACTTCACTGAAGATGTCAGCAGATTATCAACCAAATCATACTAGGATAAAAACTAGTTAGTAATTAGTATCTAGCTATAAAAAAATCAAATACAAAAAATTACTTAATAATTAATAATTAGACTGAGATGTTCATGTAGACTACATTTTGGCTTTCAAGAACTTTTTAGAACTTTTTTAAAAATTTCTGAGACCATACAAATATTCGTTTATGATGAAATCATTCAACATTTAGATACAGATCATTAGTAACTCTGCCTGAAAATATTCATAAAACTGGAAAATCATTCACTGTATCTCTAAATGGATCCAGCTCTCTAATCCTGATTATCTTAGCAATCATTTGGTCAAAAATTTGGTTTCAATAAACATTTGCTATCAAAATGAAGGGCTGAACTGTGATAAGTTACACGATTCAATAGTATTAATAATTATTATGTTTTAATATTGCCATACTTGTTCTGGCTATCTGGTTAATAATTACAAACTCATCATAATCAATTAGAAATAAGATTCTTAATGTTCCAGGGATTTCAAGCCACGCTCTTCTCTTCAGCACTGGTAATATTCTGTTTCCAGGAGCAAAGCTTCAATCATATGATGTAGTTCTTCGTATGTTGTTGTTATCACTGAATCCTCTTCTAGAGGAGAAAATAATTCTATCTGCTCCTTATATTCTATTAAACAAAGAAAATAAATAAATATTTGTACATATACAAAATATTTAATCTACTGTTAATGACTAACATAATCCATACGATTCAAACACTATTCCACAATTATTTTATATTATTCAATTAAAAAAAATTAAACAAACGATATGTCATCAAAATTCAATCAAGGCAACATGCTTAAAAATCAATGATCATACCCAAATCATATTTGCTAACTATTTTATTTATTCTTTCACTGCCATGTTTACAGATAACTATCCCACTACCAGATTTATTTTAAGATACACAACAAAAATAAACAACATGTGTTGTAATATTTCATTATTTTCTGAAACTAGTAAACTTTGACAAGTTTGAAGGGGAACACCTGTTCTTCATGGTGGTATAAAATTCCAAACTCCCATTTAAAAAAAGATGCTTAGCAAGCTCTTAAAGAAATGTTGATCACAGATAAGACACTGACAACAAAACTGCTGAGCAAAAGCATAAAATCTATGCTTTTACACAAATAAGGTGAATATAAATAAGGCAGCAAAATATCTTATTGAATTTTTTTTTGGCATTGTCTTGTTTATTCAACTAAAACTTTTGTTACAGTTAACAGTCTTATTTGCATCTTTCAAAAAAACCTATTTAACAGCTTATTGAACAATCTGCATTATCATTACTACTGATTTGATTTACCAGGCACTCAAAGCTATAATTAAAAAACTTCACCTCTAACTCTATTTCTGTAAGCATCTAAACAAGTTTTATTTTACTTTAAATTTATTGCTATTCTACAAATGTTTTTACATTTTAAAAACTATTAACAGTTAGTGAGTTATATGATCATAATATTATAGTATGAAATTATTTATAGATAACTATAAAAAGAAAATAACACACAATATGAATACAGACTAGAAAACTGAATGTCAGTTTTGTTTCACCAAATTTTATTCATAATTATGTTAAATGTACAAGGCAATAACAGGTGCCATTTACATTTAATAAAACGACAAGATACTTTTTAAGATGAAATATGTACAACAAAAGTTTAAGATTGGTTAATAATTAAAATTTAAAATATACACATATACTTGTGGGCATCTACATGAGTATATGTATATGCATTGTTAATTACATGGATATAGGCAAACATAAATGTCAATATGTTACCTAGTAAATTATTTTAAGAACTTGAATTACTTGACTGACTTTTGTTGGGTTGTAATAATTAGCAATTCTTAACTGTATGCTTATGAATTTATAAGAGAAACATAATCCAACAAAATGTATCTGTTTGTGATTATATCTTAAAATAGTTAAATCACACATAATCATTTAAATGTGAAAACTGTTTTTATTTTATTACTATTAAAACAACTTATTTCTGAAAGATAGAAAGCACAGGAGACTTACTAGGGCAGGTTTTGAGTTGGATGTTTTCTTTTGACAGATGCATTAGTTTTGACATTTCTGTCTTCAAGTAGAGGGTGCCCAAATTATTAGCAAATAACATTCGAGTATATACTTGAAGCATCCAGCGGTGATGACAAGGGGTTTCAGGAGGAGGGAGCTATGAAGTTTGATATATATCAATTTTAGCCCTGTTTATACACTAAATTTGAGAAAAATTGATGTTACTATTGAAAAGATAAATGATTAATTCTCTTTATGGTATCTAACTCTATTAAAAAATTAAATATTTCATGATAACATTAAAATCATACTCCCATATATACTGCAACAGAGATAGAGTTTTTGCTGTTAAACTGATCACATTAATTATATTTCATGGGAATAGATTAGGTAAATTACTGGATTTTGTTTTACCTGAGAAATATATATGAGCTTATGAAGCTGCTGAAATAGTGGTAGGACTGGATCTTTGGTTTCTTGGAGTTTTCTTGGTGACAAGGATAAGGAGAAGGAAGAACCAGCTGGAAATACGAAACATACACACAGTTATACATTTAGGGATTTTATGGTGACAAAAACAGTCAACCATTTGTTCATGGGCTTGATCAAATTGGTTAGAAAATAGAAAAATGTTTAAATCATTTTGTATAAATATGTATTCAAGATTAAACACTTCTCAGCTATTAAAAAGAGAGTAAAAACAACCACTGAGAAGAATATAACAATCCATTTTAAGCCTACATAACCAGGCTTGAGTTTTCACTTAAACTATAAAAATAAATGGTTTTGTTGAGTAAAACAATAATTGTAAGTATATTTACATATAATTTTATTATAATGTATGCCCAAGACATTATTTACAAGTAAAGTTTATTTGTTTAGAAGTTTGAGCAAAGCAACACAAGGGCTGTCTGTGCTAGCTGTCCCCCATTTACCAGTGATAGACTAGAGGAAAGGCAGCTAGTCATCACCACCTAACGCCAACTCTTGGGTTACTCTTTTACCGATGAATAGCAGGATTGACCATCACATAATAACACCACCACGGCTGAAAGGACAAGCATGTTTGGTGGGATGAGGATTCAAACCCATGACCTACAGATTGTGAGTTGAGTGCCACTCAGAAGTAAATAAAAACTTTTTAAAAAAGGAAGTAAATGTAGTGATGGCTAATATTAATTCTTCAAAGACAATGCAAACAAGATAATAGGGATGGCACTTGCATCAATCCTACATAATAGCATAGACACACAGTGTAGTAGAATGTTAATAAATAAAAATATGATATATTAAGATCAGTTGTGATTGAGTAGTTATATATATATATATATATATATTGCTATACAATACAAATGCCATCCCTACTATCTTGTTTGCATTGTTTTTGAAGGATTAATATTACCCATCTTTAGATTTACTTCCTTTTTTGAAAAGTTTTTCTTTACTTGTTTCTTTCAATGCAAGTTCAATACATGTAGGAAGGTTGTATTTATAACCAAGTTCTAAATACAATGAGGTTCCAACTATAAATATTTATTGTTTATCTATTATTAGCTGGTAATTCCTATAACATCTTGTACTTAAGCTTTTTAAAGGAACACCAAATTTCTGTAAGAAAGCTAACTTCAAGGGGTTAATAATAACATATTTACACTAGAATTATGATTTTTTAAATTTACTAATAGTTATTAATAATACTTATAAAAGTGGATACTCAGTTTAAAACTATGTCACCTCAGTGAAATTGGTGGACACCATTGTTTTGGTTTTTGAGTTATCATGTAATAAAAAAAGCAGAATAACAAGAAATTCAAAATTTTTTGCTATGATATTTACAGACATTTCTGGAACTTGTGACTCAGTCATTACATAGATACTGTTATAAAAGGAAACACTATATATTACTGTAAAGTTCTGATGACCTATTGAGCAGATATTTAAAACACCATTTCGATAAACAGTCCAAGCCATCCCTACATAAATAGTGCTACTACCTCCTGATACTACTGAAATATGTAATGTTGTTTTCAAAATATATGCTTTGTCAATCTAAATATTTTGTATGTGTGTGTTTATCATTAATGTAAATTAATTCTTATCAAGCTAAAACCATGTTTCAGAAATGAAATTTCTACTGAAGTTAATTCTATCTCATTGTTTTATTTTCAAGTCCACTAAGTATCTAATTTAAATAACATATGAAAGAATTATAATATATATTCTTATAAACGTCTTTTCTAGTATCATATTAAACACCAAAATCACTGGTTTTAGCAAACTTAAAAATAAAGCTACATGAAAGTTAATTCTGACATTAAATCTTAAGTGAACAGTTGCTAAGATGTAGTCTTTACTTTAAGTATACTAATCCTTTGTTATTGATCTCAAGTACATTAATAAATTTGTCATACTGATATTGCCATATTAGCAGTTAGTGTATTTCTACAGGACTTGAACTGGATTTGTAATGTATGTAATAACAGGTCTACAACATCTCTCCAGGGTTTCAAGTATGATGAGACATTACATATTCAATAATACTATTGACATATTTAAACATTTAACTCTTAATTGGTCAAAGAAGTTTTTTTACAGAATTTCAAACACATTCTATATATTTTACACTGACAAACTCTGACATTAAGCCAGCTGTAGCCTGTATAGATATCTATATTAAACAAACTGTGTTGAATAATTTCTAAGTTCCTTTTAAATTGTGTTTGTCTTGGTAGTTTTATACATTGGTGAAAAAAAGCTTGAAATTATAGAACAGTCTAACAGGCTGAATTAAAAAAATCCCCAAAAAATCATCAAATGTATTTAGTTGAGTGATAATCAGCAAAGACATCTTAAAGATGATGGAAAAAGTATGATGGTGTAGGTTTACTTACTTTAATCTGGTAGTAATATCTTCAGTAGGACTAAAATATTTTTAAGTACAGTTGTATTGTGAAAGTTTAAACACAATACACATCAAACTTACTGTACAGTAAATCCAAAAGTATAACTTTGCTTCCACTACTTTGCTAGTCATGATATTAATCCACTTCATTTTTCAACAATAGTTATAGGTTGTAACAGAAGGGCTAAACAACCAAGTCCGAGACCCTTAAGGCTGAAGTGTAGCCATCTTTAGTTTAGAGATTCTAATCAGATAAAATCAGTCAGCAGCTACTATTAATAAATAGTGGGATTGATACTTGTATTTATAATGTCCCCATACCTGAAAGTGCAGAGCATATTCAGTAGTAAATTATGACTCAAACATTGGACCTATTAATTCATAGCCTGGCACCTAACCACTAGGCTTCACACCAGCCCATTTCTGAAAGAGAGCTTATGATTTATTTAATGCTAAAATTTATATACCTATTGTCTAATTCACTATGATACTGTTATAGCAAGAGCAATGTTTAGGATTTATCAACAAAAACTAAATATCTAGCTTATTTATTTCTTATTATTCATAATATCTGTTAAACAATTAATAATGGATTTTTGAATTAAGCATAAAATATATATATATGAAAAAAAAAATTGTTTAGTAGAAGATACTAGTTGCAGAGTGCCAACCAAAAAGAATAAAAATATTATCAAATAAAGTATGTAAGCCTGGAATGATGATTCAGATATCTTTCTCTATCCTTTCTAGTGTTATTGATCATAAAGAAGTAAAGTTGGGGTTTGACTAAGACTTTCAGGGATTGGTTTTCAAAAGTATGACTGGTTAATGGTTAAAAATTAGAACTAACCATATCTCCAAATTTAAGTCTTTATTAAAATGTTATTTATACTACTATTGGTTGAGAAGCAATACTTGTCACATAAAATCACTTGATCTCATGTAAGAGTCACAGAAAAAATGATATACACTTGACATATGAATGTCAAGTTCTATCAATAATGTGGAAAAATAAAATACTGTATAAATAAACAGTAAAAGGAAAGAAGTATATTCCACATAAACTGAAATATAAAATATTATATGCCTATCTCCCAGTATACATCATTGCTAGGCTACCTGGTAAAATGGTAAGAAACTCTATAACTCCAAAACTTTTGAAAGACAGACCCTTCTTCATTGATTTTTTAAACCTATGTGCCTATGAGTGCTTGTTAACACCATTGTAAAATGGTAAGAAGTTGTATATCATTAAACATAACTCATAAATGTTTCAGTCAAATGCTGCAGAATAGTTAGTCCAGCACATCATTTACTTGATATGATACTGCTAACAAAATATTCATAAGCAGGCAGAGAATATTGTACTCAAAAATAACTCAAAACATTAATACTCAGCCTCAAGTTATTAAAACAATGCAAAAAAAATGGTAAGAAGTTGTATATCATTAAACATAACTCATAAATGTTTCAGTCAAATGCTGCAGAATAGCTAGTCCAGCACATCATTTACTTGATATGATACTGCTAACAAAATATTCATAAGCAGGCAGAGAATATTGTACTCAAAAATAACTCAAAACATTAACACTCAGCCTCAAGTTATTAAAACAATGCAAAAAAAATGTTGATATCACATATAAACAACAGATGCATATTTTGTTTAGGTAAAATGTTTTACATTCAGATTCCTGTTCAAGAAGATTAATTTAATTTCCTGCCTTCTATATTAACTGACCAGCAAGTAGCAAAAGTTAGTCTAATGATATTTCTACTGCTCAATATAAACAAAGGAAAGTTGATAAAATTAAGTTATTAATTTGATTCTTCTTGTTATTTTAAACTTATTTAAACATGAAAATCAAACTCACTTCAGATATGAAAGCACCACAGAGTTTTAAAAGGTGTTTCAATTCTTTAGTGTGTGTGTGAAGATAGCTGAACTTCTTCATTTAAGTCAGCTCAGTAAACAGATGGTTAACCGAGACAAAACCTGACATTATCTGTAGATTATGTAACATAAATTTCAAAATTTGACTTTTTTTCTAGAAAGTTTAAAGTGGAGATCCATAATAGAGAGGGACTAAATAATATTGTTAGAGAAAGTTTAACAATGGATTATGGTACTTTGTTCAATGGATTAGTGAATATAACAGTGAAAGTTAAGAATCAATATTTTAAAGATTCTGAAGAGGGATTAAACAATAATTCTAATAAGGAAGTTATAAGTGATTACAGTAAATATGTTGAGGAATAATATGATTAAAATAGTGGTGAGCTTGAAGTATCTGTATTTATATGAATCAAAACTTTTCAAAAGCTAAGCTGTATAACTCGTATTTGCAACTGTGTTGAAAAGGTATGTTAGCTAAAGTACAAAGCATATAAACAATTAAATAATAGGATTACATAATACTAAAGGTGGACAACTACAGGCATTCAATAAGCAGACATCAAAATGACAACTGCTTGGATTAAAATACATGTCTTCATTTTCTGAAAGAATTCATTGTTAGGTCTCAATATAGCAATGAAAATATCTTATACAAGACTCACATTTTTTATGTCAGTCTAATATTTTTTCAATATAACTAGTAATATTTGGTGATTTTTTGACAATTTTGTCTTAATGTTTTTCTTATATTAACCAATGAGCACTTTGTCACACCACATATATCGTACAAACAATTATCTGGAGACCAGTCTCTACAATACTCATAACAGTAATTTTTAAAAATTCTGTCACTTAATGATACACATGGAAAGCCAGATGTTAATATATATGTAGATCAGTATTGGTCTAGCCACATGCAAAAACACATTAACCTTCCATTCACAGCTGAGACTCCAGTGTTTACAATATTACATGAATGCTAGACTACTGTTATTATTAAATATACTTTTTAATGAAGTTTTTACTTATTTACCTGAGAATGTATCACCAAATTTTTTACAAATCAATGATTAATGCTCTAACACTAATTTCACAAATATGGCAAGTATAATGAACTCTTGAAAAAGTATTCCTTATTTTTCAATTATGTCAAAATCATTTTATTATAACAAAAAACAACATAAATACCCACCTTTAGCATGTTTGTTTAAAGGAAAACTATCAGTAGGATGACTTTGTGGGAAGTTCAGTGGTACTTGCTTTTTGACTTTGTCTTTTAAGCTGAAAAAAGTTATAATGTTCCTATACTGAAAATGTATTTCCAATAGGCATTTACCTCCTCTGACAAGTTAGCTATTCTGATTCAGTGTGGCCCTCTATATGCAAACTTTTTCTTTATGTATCCCCCAAGCCTTGCACCCCCTATTTTGTTGGAATTACTGTATTCTGACATGTCTATCATCCATATCATTATGTGTCATCTCTTAATAAATAGTAACATGACATGCTCACATGATACGTGTGACTCCCTCTACACTCCTCTACCGAATCTTCACTTCAAAGTTTGGCAGAAGGTGTGAGCACCGAAGAAGTTGGGAGGAAGGTTGGGAAGTGTGAAAGGAAGTAAGTACCTATCGGAAATACATTTTAAATATAGATAAATTATAACTTCCAATACTTTACTTACTTCTTCTCACAAGATTAGCTAGAATTCCACATTGTGGAGGAGGGACCGGTGCATGAGAACGAAAAAATTACCCCCAAAAGTGTCTGAAGGATACCCCTGACAATGAGAGATATAAATACAAAGATCAGCAGAGGGGAACCACACCACTTCTGAGCCAGGTATACTCTTCGCCAATGTGTAGATTGTGTAATGCACAAGGGTAGAAATTGTGAGGTGTAAAGTAGCTATGGCACAGCAGACCATACTCAGTAAGTCAACTACATCCAAAGCCTCCTTCATGGAGTTCTGACATCCATGCGAGGGTAGGATTAGGATCATACCATCTTCACTTCAAATCCAAGAGTTTGGGATTAAGACCTGCATTGATTTCTGAGTATGCCACGAGGTTCATCACCGATCTATCGATCCGGGAATTGGTATCTGGTATCGAAAGGATGTCTATTGCATGGGATCAACTCCCCCAATCATGGCACAGGCCAGCACCATCCAAAGGCAACAACATCCCCATAAGGAGAGAATGAGAAATTGTCAAGGATAGCACTGGAACAATCCCATGTACTACTGCTGTGACCAAAGACATCGAAGGGGTGAACTGCAATTGTGATAGCTCAACTGCAGTGTTTATGTAAAGTGTATCAAGAGGCCACGTCACCCAGTAAGGCAACGGCTCAACTGCAGTGTTTATGTAAAGTGTATCAAGAGGCCACGTCACCCAGTAAGGCAACGGCTCAACTGCAGTGTTTATGTAAAGTGTATCAAGAGGCCACGTCACCCAGTAAGGCAACGGCTCAACTGCAGTGTTTATGTAAAGTGTATCAAGAGGCCACGTCACCCAGTAAGGCAACGGCTCATTTCCAGCACTTGTATAAAAGGAAGTGGGTGGCCACGTCATCCTGTAAGGTGACAGCTGAACTCCAGTGTTTGTGTAAATAGTATCAGAAGGCCACATCCACCAGGAAAGCGACAGCTCAACTCCAGTGAGTGTGTAATAGATATCAGGAGACTACATCAACCAGAAGGTGACAGCTCAACTCAAGTGGTTGTGTAAATGTTAGCAGGAGACCACATTTACTGTGAAATAACAGCTTCACTCCAGTGGTTTTGTAAATGGTGTCAGGAAACCATGTGATTTACTAAGGAGATGGCTCAACTCCAGTTTTGTTGTGTTAATGTGATCAGGAGGCTATGTTAACTGGAAAGGTGACAGCTCAACTCCTTTGGTAGGAGCTCCCATACTCCACTCAAGAAAAGGAGAGTGACAATGCAGTGGAGAGCCCAGAGGAACATCATCACCATAGACAATGCAATGGGTGACTATGAAACATTATTTTGAAAAGAAGACCATACCGAATTATTCACTCGAGGCATGGCAGGGATGGGCAGCAATCCCCTTCTGCTTTACCCATGCAGTCCATGGGTGATATGGTCAGGAATGGGCATGTGAAGCAAATTATCATGAGACAATTAACTATCAAGTGATCTTGTGGAACACCCCATCTCGACAGTGAACATGTGAAGCCATGGACGAGAGAGCACGAGTCAACATGTTTGACAGTGTGGATTTAAAGTTAAAGAATAGCTGATCAAGCAACACTTGCAACAGAGCAGAATCCATGTGATAAAACGGGAAATAGAGGCCCCTGAAAAAGGTAAGACTAAGGCAAGAATATTAGGCATGGGTAAGACTAATATTAGATTCGGGTACTATCCCCCAAATATGTAACAATGAATGGATAGTACGCACAATAGTAAGAATGGGTGTACTGATCAGAAGTCCATTCGGGACAAGGCATGCTGATCCCCTCACTTAATTGTGAGACAAATTGATCCGTATGTACCCAAATATCAGAGGAGGGAGGAGGTACCAAATATGGTTGAGAAGATGGCTCATGTAACAAGGAAGGACGAGGTGAATAAGAGATAGGAGAAAAGGGATAAATCATCACAAGCCTGAGACACAAAATCTGTGAAGACCGAATTAGGCCTAGGTGATTCCTCAGGTTGCAAGTGGGAAGGAACAGCAAACCCTGGAAGTAGGAAAAGACAATCAAACTCCTCGTCATTCTGAACAATTTCAGCCAACTCAGGAGGAGCTGGGGCAATGTCAGAGCACAAAGGTTGATCCATGTATCATTCAATCTCCCGATGTGTAAAAGCATAGAGATCTACTGTCGGATAGCCCGCACCTGAGGCTTAAGAAAAAACAACTGATCATTAGTGTGACACTCAAAGTATATATATATATATAAAACTCATAAAGGAACCACTTTGAGCAAAAAAAAAATTGTTCTTCACACTGGAAGCACTAAGCATACAAAAGAAGATGTCTGAGCTCAAATGCTGCCAAATGAGAAGTGAAGGTTTGGTAGAAGAATGTAGAGAGAGTCACATGAGCATGTCATGCTACTATTGGTTAAGAGATGACACATGATGATTTGCATGAGAGACATGTTATAGTGCAAGGCTTGTGGCATGCATAAAGAAAAAGTTTGCATATAGAGGACAGCATTGAACAAGAATAGCTGATCTTGTGAGGAAAGGTAACAAATACAGAGGAAGGGTAATAAAGGTTTTATTACACTCAGTAACAGTTTCTTTCCCATATCTACATATTTAAGAAGTTTTAAGCCAAAAACAACATCAATAAAGCAGAAGAATTTTTCAGCATTTTACATTTATGGTGCTGATAAAAACATAACAATCACCATTATAATGGGTAATCATGATTGCAAAAACATTCCAATATATACTACAAATAAATATTGTTATGTCTCCGTTTGTTAATTAACTTTCCGTAACTTCGTTCCGACGAAACTTTAGCGACACAAGTCTCTACTTAATAAAACTGGTTTATTCTTTCCAAATATAACTTTACGATACACTTAATTTCAACAATCGCGCTAAAACAAACGCTATAACAACGAACATGCTCAATAATACTCTCTGACTGCAGATCAATTACTCACTGTCTACACACACATTAATTCGTCACATTGTCACCCTCTTATATATATATACCAGACTACCCTATATCTAGTAATCTCCCGACTATTCCCGAAGGTTCGAGAGAAGTGGCGTGACATTAATCACATGACCTCGCTCATGCAACAATATCTTTAAACTGATCTCATCTTTTGTTATATAAGACATTCTTGATGTTAGGAATACATATAGGTTCAAAAAATCAAAATAAGACAAAAATATAACAAAATCTTTCTAAAGGTGGGCCTTTTTTCCTCAGGGGTAAACCCTAATGAAGAAAGTTCCACATTTTGAAAGTGCTTAAATTATAGGGTTTCCTATTTTTGTCATACAAGTCTAATATTTATGAGTAATTTCAAAACTTTCATTGGAATACATTAGTTTATGAATATATTTACAAAAATTAACAGCAAATGTTTATGGACTATACTTATTGCTTAATTAATTAAAACCTCAGTATATCCATCTTAAACTCATGAGTGCTCATGAAATAGTGCATTTTTAAAAAGTATCTTAATTATTTTTTTAAAAGAAAGTTCTGATATGACCATCATTCTTAATAAAGCATTTTTCAAATTTCATTCTACTTTGGTATATCTAAAAATTTAAGCATTCAAAAATGTAACCTTTTTCTCTTTTCCTTTTCCAGCTGCAGTTTTCTTTCCAAAATCCTTTGCTCAGTGGAAAGTGTATCAATGGTTGCTACTAACTGAGAAGCTGCCAGACTTGCCACAGTAGAAATGTCAGGTCGTCGATCTGAGTCTACGATCAGGCAGCTGTAAGAAACAATACAAAAGGCAAGAGGGTTTATTGAGACATTAAACATTATTCTAATCTCTAGTTCATTAATTCTGCATTCTACTATGGAAACAAAACCAAAATTTAAGCAGATATTACACCAGAAGTTAACAGTTTCTTACACTGAAAATGTATTTCCAACAGGTACTTACCTCTTTTCACACAAAGCTATCTTAATCCTTGTTTGCCCTCTAAGTATTGCTAAAAATACTTTTTGTAATCAGCACACCACTCTTTATACTCCATCAGTTTCATGCCATTTCAGAACATATACATATCATGTGACTACTCTCCACCAATAGTATTGCACTGCCTATACTGGCACAGCTAGCTCCCTCTGCTATTCCTGATCAATCCTCAATTTCAAGAATTGGCAGGTATTAAATAAAAACACTGGCAGTGGGGAGGAAGAGTAGGAAGGGAGATGAGTACCTATCGGAAATATATTTTTAGTGTAAGGAAATTTTAACTTCCAAAATGGTCTTACTTCCTCCCACACAAAGTTAGAGGAGCCAGTTTAAGTGCACAAGTATCAAAACAAGTGGTAAGCGACTGCCCAGAATGAACGGGTGTGTTACGAGATGAAAATGAAGCACACTTGTAGGGTACTGCACTACTTCTGGAACAGGTATGCTTTTTGCCTAGGAAATAGGAAAGTAACACAAAATGGGCAGAATTGGAAATACTGGTACAACTGAATGCAGTAAGAATTCAAACGGCACTGGAAAAGTGATGATATTGCTGTATGTTCTGAAGAATATATATGTTCCATTTGACACTGGATTGTGCCTGATATTGTACCTGTGTTAAAAACCTAGCAAGAAATGCTAGCAGTGAACCACAGGAGCAAGATATAACAGAATGAGTTAGGTACCTACCCAATTTCAACTTAACAGACAATGATTCGTAGCTTGTCCTCGGCATTAGTAGGGTTGGGGAAGAGAAAAAATGGAATAACAACAAATGGTCAGGGCATGAGGACCACACAATCTATTTATGATGACATCAATTGATTAAGTTATTTGGTCTAGTGTGGTCCATCTGCACAAAAAAATCCAGGGGAAATGCAAGTAAAATAGGATGAAGGTATTTTGTCTAGTGAGGTCTACCTAGGCAAAAAATATCCAGGGGAAACTCAAGAAGGGTTACTTGTTTTTATCAATTGATGAAGTGATATTGACTAGAGCAGTCCACTTAGGCAAAAATATCCAAGGGAAATGCATGTAGAGATGGTACCATGTTCGTTATTATGAATTGATGAAGTTATATTTGTCTAGTGCAGTCCAGTGTTAAAAAACTGTCCTAACATAATGTTTTATGACAAGTATAATAGATTATAATCATGCTTTGCCAGCTTGTAAAAGGTGTTCATACCATAAATATTTTACAGATGTCTTCAATCAGAACTAATAGAACATACAATTTAATGCCAGATTACAACTTTTGCCATTAGCTACAATGTCAACATGTAATAGCAATGAAAACTGCAAATTACATAAAAGACTGATAAAATTTGATGTCAAAAGAAATGATATGAAAAGTATCAGCTGCAATTACTTGATACCACAACTGGTGCAATTAACAATGACAGAAACACTTTAACATCAGACATAATCTTGAATTGGTACCTACTTGTAAATCCATTTCTGAATAGAATTGATACAATTAAAATATTAATCATAACTATTAATGGAAAGCAGAAAACTAGTTTTCAGTCATCTGGACTTTATATGTCGTGTCTGACTGGTGTATATTCAGAACTAACAAAAGGTGTTTTCAAACTGAAAAAGTTAACTGAGTTAATTTCAAAACGAGTAGACTGGACTTGATACCTAAACACCACATACAGTGGCACAGAAAAACTTTTAGTTTCCAGGGCTCAACTAGGGCATGCTCATACTGCAAACAACATTTTGGTTGATCCTTTTATATACATGTATACAATACTGGCTGAGTCTGTGGCCAGTTACATGCATTAATGTTCTGGTATTTCACTATATATATAATTAAATCAAAACAATATTTTATAAACAAATAGCCAGACTACCCAAACAGGTAACATTTAATCTTACAAACTAAATGATACAGTTAATTATGATTCTGTTAACTCATTGATTTTATATTTGTTCCACTTCTACACACTTTGCACAACCCCTCCTGCAAAAAATTAGTTGTTTTTTTTTCATTTAAGTTCCTTTATAGTTCAAAACTCTATCACTTCTTACTTAGGCACATGTGTAAGCCAGGCCTGGTTTTAGCTGCACTACTGCCCATAAAGGAAGTTTAACCAAAATGCATATCACAAAAAATGTTTTCAAACTCTTAAAATAAAAGATGTCAAAAACATATTCATCATGCAGAGTTGGTTATTGTATAGCTGTATTGAACAAAGTAAAATAACTAGTAACACTTCATGTAAACTCAATTTTCAATATCCAGGAAATGCTGTTTTTAAAAACATAAAAAAAAAGGAAATGACAGATTACAAAAACTGAGTGCCCATAACACTGGGCTGTGGCATGTAACTGTATGTGATTTCTATAAGGTGGGCTAATAAGTAAAATCAAACACTAAACTATAACATAGGAAAGTACATTAATGATACTTATTTCTTTCACTAATCACTTGGAACAGATAAGTTGTTTAAAAAAGTATAATATATTAAATTTCAAAACTGTAATAGGGAGAATTGATGCTTTATCACATCCCAAATAAAGATAAAGTTAATCTATGATTATGTTACCCTAGACAGTATTAAAATAATGTTTGTTATTACTTATAACCTGAATAAATCCAACTAGTAAAAGTTTACTGAATCAATGATTACACTGCTGTGAACAGCATAGTTCTTGTTTTGGAGAAGACAGGTTAAAATATTTGTATTCTTCATCACAAAACAGATAATGCCTACCCGAAGTTTTAATCCATTCTGTGTTGAGATTTAAATATAGTTTATTTAAATATAGTGAAACTATTGATCGTTGAACAACAGGATCAGTTGATTATACACAAAATGGCATAATAAAATTCATTTTCATAATTTCTATCTTTATTAAATCAAATTAAGCATCTTCAGTAACAATTTAGGAAAAAATATCAATGTATCTGAAAGGCTAACTTTAAATTCAAATAAATATCATGAAACTTCTAAAGAGTTGATTCATGTTCACTATTATATTTATAAAAAAAAAAACAACTATTCTTTGATTCAATACTACAGTTGAATCTTTTTCCTTTAACAAACATATTGTTTGTAAAATAAATACAAAACTATTTATGAAAAGAGAAATGCTAGATATTCATTTTAAACAATTATAAGTTACCTAAACATTATATTTTCATTACATTTCAAGCTTTAATTACCTTTCAATTATGTTGACCAATTTATCACAAAACTGGGAACTGGATATTGGGTCATATTGGCCTTTAACTATCTAAAGTACAGAAAAAGAATAAAAGTCACAACTTTGGTGGCAAATTTCAATCATTTAGTATTTCCCATAACTTTTTTTTAGTTGTTATTAATTAGTAACTAAGAAATAAAACAAGTTTAAGCAGCAAACATGTTGTTATTAATTATGTGCTATGTACCAAAGGAATAACATTTAAAAAGGTTTCCTCAAATGTTCCTAAATATTCATGTATATCATAAAATACTATCTTGAAACTTTGCAGTACAGCTACTATGTTACTGCAAGTTTATTATGAAACAATAAATACTACGTAGTTGATTAAATGGTATCATTAAATGTAAAAGTTAACAAATAGCATTTGCAGTGGCACCAACAAGTTACATGATTGAAGTACAATATAAGCTAGCATAATAAAACCCTTTTTGCCATTATTATAAAAAAAAGTACAGGCTTTCAAAATATTATAAATAAAAACTGATATTATAACACATATATATACACACAAATAATACCTTGAGAGATTATAGTATTATAGCTGGAATAAGCTACAATATTACGTGTATCGAAAGATATACCTTTGAAGCAAGTGCCAGTAAATTCTGAGACCAAAATGGTGGGTGTAAAGTACACAGCAGGTATATGACACATCCAAGAGACCAAATATCAGCTCTTTCTCCATATGGCTTATGCTGGACTATCTCTGGACTGCAAAAGAAAACAAACTAACAATGGTACTTGTTTTCTGACTTTGCTTTTTTAAGCTAAAAAAAATTATAATGAAAATATGTAAGAAACAACACAAAGAAAGATAAATCACACAGTTTAAAAGTTAATAAATACAGAGGAAGGGCAACAATCACAGCACCAACTTCTTTCCCATATCCATACACTACAATCTGTTTCATTATTTTATGATTTTGTATCCTACTATGGTAATACGTCAGTAGAAACAAACCCTATATTGATGCAGATATTACATCAGAATAAGAATTTATTCTATGGACACAACACATCACATTGGTGTACTTTATAGGTTATGCTGAACTATCTCTGGACTGCAATAAAACACAAACTAACAAGATTCTTCAACTTTTCTTTGCATGTAAATATGTAAACTAACAGAAAATATAATCCCATAAACCAATTCCATAAAATTAATCAGTATTACAAAATACATGGCAGGATAAGCTGCTTGTTATTTTGTTGAATTTTGAGCTAAGCTACTCGAGGGCTATCTGCAGTAGACATAATTAATTTAGAAGTGATAGATTAGAGTCAACATCACCTACTGCCACTCTTGAGCTACTCTTCACAAAAGTTACTAAAATGTGAAAATTAAAAACTTCTCAGCTTAGCCTAGAAAACTTTAAATTACAATACTTCAAGCACCTGTATGAAATATGACAGCACATCATTTGTTGTTACATTAGTCAACAAGATTCAGCTAATGAGCTCCTGCTATGATGTAATGCTTTCCATGCAAGGACTACAGCTTAAATGGTGCTAAGCACATTAATAAAACGATAACAGTTGAAAGTGTTAAAGTGACTCAGAACTTTCTCATCAAAAGATCCTATGATCAGAGGATAAAATGGTATTATTCATTTTATTTCATATTTTCATTTCACTGTACATTGATGATTTTTCTACAGCTAGTGTTAGGGTAAAGAAAATAAGAGACAAAATAAACAGTTTTATCAATAAAAAACATTTAATTCATTTATGGTTCTAGAGGATAAGCAAATGAAATATGAAAACTGTTAGATGAAAATAAATATTCTTATTCTTAGCACAGAACTTACCTTTCACTCATGCAGGCTCAGTAAAGGCTTCAGAAATTCATATTTAGTAGAAATACATTATTAAAAAAATTATTTTTTGTGCACAACACTTTCAAAATTGGTCAAGTCAACCAACATCACTCTTACAGGATTAAATCATGTCTGTTGAATAATTCTACAGAATAAATTAGTAGCATCAATGCTATATAATCTTCAAAATATACATAAATATAGGTTCACTGTGGTCTCTGAGCAGAAGGTATCTCTGAACATCATAACTTACAGATCACCACTATAAGAAGCCTACCTTCCTTTTTTGATTTGCCTATGTCTAAAGTTACTAATGAAGGATGAAACTTCCCTAAACTGGTCTAACTGATAAGTGGTTAACTGAATGACAGATTGAGCTTCACATTTCTCTCTAATATTTTAAACAGTGTGTCTGTTGAATGAACTGGAAAAATAATTTAGTAGCATCAGTGATATGTTTGTTTGCTAAAACTATGTGTGTGTGTGTGTATATATATATATATATATATTCATTGTGGTAAGTAAAAGTAAACCAAATCACCATTTCCTTAAATATATAGTACATATACACGAACACAAAACTAGTATATGAATTTCTATTTTGTTTTACAACAAATAAACTTACCAACAATACAACATAGTACCAACTACAGAAGTCACATTACTTTCCCTTGAGAATTTTCTTCTAGCTAGTCCAAAGTCAGCTACAGAAATCAAAACAAAAATACTTATTTTCTACTTTTTGATGAGTTTAACCATTTGTTTCTGTATTACATTTATAGCACACACCAAACTTTACCAGATTTATTCCCAGTTGATTTGAGATGAGAACTGTATTTTCCATTTTTTTACATAATAATAAAAAAATTCTAACAAAATGTAGAATTTCCTTAGGCTGCTGGAAATAAGTATCATCCTTAAACCAATGTATGCAACGAAACATGAGCAAAGAATAATTTTGATTTAGCTCCACTTAAGTTAACTCAAACTGCACATTTAAATAAAATTTTGAGCTCACTTTATTAAGAATTATGATGGTTGAGTATGTTATATTAAAAGATTTTGAATATCCAAATCAGCAAGTCACATGAAAACTACAGCTAATATAAAGTCACAGTGGAATGGCACATATTAGAACTACATTTTAGCATTTCATAGGTAGTATGATGCTACTGAAAACTGATTGCTTTCTAAAAGGGTATGTAACAACCTTTTGTGATACAAATAATACATACATTCAGATCATAACATTTACTAACATTGGAAAACAAAGGAGTTTAGATCAATGTGGGGCTCCAGGACCATAAAGAAAGAGACCTGCATTAAGTAGTACCCCGGTCACAGTAACAGATGAGAATCCACGACCATAAAGGTCAGTAGCAAAAGCTGTCCACATCTCTAGACAAGAGTATGCAACATAATCAAAGACCTCTATCTCAAAAGGTAACACAAGTCACCTGTGCACAAGTTTGCTTACATGACGTATCAATTCAACTGTCACATACCTCAAGCATTTGGAAAATGAAACTTATATTCATCTTATTCCACACAAATAAATATTACTGAATATTATATGTAACAGAGAAAATGAAGTAGAATTTAATTGGGCATATCAACTATGTTTTACAAAATAATTTCTCTGAAGAGCTATTACACAGTTAGCCAAAAATACTAAGTTTTTATTTTTGATGATTGTCAGAGTGTGAAAAAATATTTTAAGTATAATGTTGAATTTATGCTTTGATTTAAAAGCGCTTTGTTGTCTACACTTAGGAAGTGTGTATTTAATATGCTCTGATGGACAGTTTTTTCAATAATCTTCTTATTGAATGTTTTCATTGCTTATCACCTCAAACTTACTAATGGTAAGTCTGTCTCGATCTCCCAGCAGGATGTTATTTGGAGTCAAGTCTCTGTGGATGACATGTTTGTCTACATGAAGATAATGAAGACCTTGAATCAACTTGAAAAACAAGACAAGAGCTTTCAGAATAGCATTACACTTTTATACAAAAAACTTCATACATTTATAATATAGATCATAAAACCATCTGTCACTGAACCAAGAATTGATATTGTAAGTAACTTTATCATCACTTGAAATAATAGTTAGCATCTGTCAAATTATCAGCCAAATCTGGAAAATGATTTTTAAAATGTCTTAAAGAAATCACTTAAGTGAACATTTGATAAAATTACATCGAGTAGGTTTTAAATGACTGATAAATAATATTAAAATGCTATAGAATAGGGTATATGAATATCTTCCATGTAAATATGGAAAGTATAAATGTAACTGATCAATATACAGCCTATCATGTGCTTGTATCGTATAATGAGAGTCAAGGAGAGTAACACATGAAATTTGAGACTTGAAATCATAAAACAGTTTTGTTTCAATTGTATTTCAATCAGTCAAATAACTAATGAACAACAGTTGTGGAAAACAAAAAGACTTGTTCAGTCACATTTTAGAAAGTAATGTCTTGAAATGTCATAGAATGTATGTATAAATAGTAAACAAAAAATACTTTATTATTTTAAGTTTAGTAATTTATATTCTTTCATTGCTAATTTTGTCAAAATTAAATATAGCTTTTGTCTTTTTCTATATTACTAAAATTTCATAATCCCATGTTGTGTACACTTAAAATTATTACAATTTATGCCACTGTTCATAATTTCTAATAAACCTAAATAGTAGATTGTTAATATCAGTATGTTGTTGAACAAAATCTTTGTACATGCTAGTGAAGTAAATTGTTGGGCACCTTTAGAAATACCTATTCAATATTTTACTGTAAATGTAAATTGAAATAATCAACCCACAGTACGAAAAACTTATTGACTTGCAGAATAAAGTTTTTCTCTGTAATATAAACAGAAAAACAGGATAAACCAAATGAATAGTAAATATTTAGGCCAAATATATGCTAATTTGTTAACTCAGTCACATTAACTTGTATTAGTGTAAAATTATATTATCCTTATGTATAATGCATAAAAAGTTTACAATTATAAGAAATATTTCATTATTAAAGCTTTTATTGATAAATACGAAATAATACCCAATCCTTATTCAAAATACACTGTCTTCGTACAAGAAAAAGGTTTTTTTTGCTGGCTACTTCATATAATAGAATGGCAATTTATAGTCTTTTACCAGACAAAACTATTTCACACTATGCCTTATATTACACACCATAACACTCAAGAAAACTTCTTATCTAATAATTTACTGTATTAACTCTTTCAGCCCAGGCTCGATCCCTGGGACCAACCTTGTAACCATTTTGTGCTTGTTA